TGATACCTCATTGTGCTTTTAATTTGCATTTCCCTGATAATTAGTGGTGAGGAGCATCTTTTTATGAGCCTGTTGGCCTTCTGAATTTCTTCTTTGGAGAAATGTCTGTTCATATCCTCCATCCATTTTTTGATTGGGTTATTTGCTTTTAGGGTGCTGAGGTGTGTGAGTTCTTTATATATTTTGGATGTTAACCCCTTGTTGGATCTGTCATTTATGAATATATTCTCCCACACTGTAGGTTGCCTTTTTGTTCTGCTGATGGTGTCCTTTGTTGTACACAAGCTTTTTAGTTTGATGTAGTCCCATTTGTTCATTTTTGCTTTTGTTTCCCTTGCCCGAGGAGATGTGTTCAGAGAAAAGTTGCTCATGTTTATTTTCAAGATATTTTTGCCTATGTTGTCTTCTAAGAGTTTTATGGTTTCATGACTTACATTCAGGTTTTTGATCCATTTCAAGTTTACTTTTGGGTATGGAGTTAGACAATAATCCAGTTTCATCTCTTACATGTAGCTGCCAGTTTTGCCAACACCAGCTGTTGAAGAGGCTGTCATTTCCCCATTGTATGTCCATGGCTCCTTTATCATATATTAATTGAGCATACATGCTTGGGTTTATAGCTGGGCTGTCCATTCTGTCCCATTGATCTATGGGTCTGTTCTTGTGCCAGTACCAAATTGTCTTGATTACTGTGGCTTTGTAGTAGAGCTTGAAATTGGGGAGAGTAATTCCCCCAGCTTTATTCATTCTTCTCAGGATTGCTTTGAATATCTGGGGTCTTTTGTGGTTCCATATAAATTATAGAACTATTTGTTCTAGTTCATTGAAGAATGCTGTTGGTATTTTGATAGGGATTGCATTGAATATGTAGATTACTTTAGGAAGGATGGCCATTTTGACAGTTAATTCTTCATGAGCACGGGATGTATTTCCATTTATTGGTGTTTTCTTTAATTTCTGTCATGAGTGTCTTGTAGTTTTCATAGTATAGGTCTTTCACTTCCTTGGTTAGGTTTGTTCCTAGGTACTTTTTTCTTTTTGATGATTGTGAATGGAATTGTTTTCCTGGTTTCTTTTTCTGCTAGTTCTTCATTAGTGTATAGGAATGCAGCAGATTTCTGTGTATTTTGTATCCTGAAACTTTGCTGAATTCATACTAGTTATTGCTGAATAAAACTAGTTATTCTAGTAGTTTTGGGGTGCATTCTATAGGATTTCTTATGTATAATATCATGTCATCTGCAAACAGTGACAGTTTAACTTCTTCCTTACCAATCTGGATGCCTTTTATTTCTTTGTGTTCTCTGACTGCTGTGGCTGGGACCTCCAGGACTGTGTTGAATAAAAATGGGGAGAGTGGGCATCCTTGTC